AACGGGGGCAAAGGCGGACCGCTGAGTTGGTCAGCACAGTTTAATTAGATTTTCAAAACAAATTACAGCTTCTAATTGTGGTTAAAAAAAGTGTGTCTGGAGAGAGACAGAATGATTGAACCCAAATAGGGTGAAGAAAAGAAAACAAATACAGGTGTTCTCCACTGAGAGGCATGAGCAGGCAAGTTACTGAATGATTTGGAGATGTTACACTGTAATATTTATAATTAGGCCATCGTGCTTCAAACTCCATCTGCAGTGAATGCTGGGAAATGGTGAGTGTTCATTTCAGCAAGTTAAAGCAGCTCAAGGCTTCCAGAGGATTACTTAAAAGTGTCTCCTTTCCACAGAAACAAAATGAATGAAGAGAGTCTTATTCGTAATTCATATTCGGTGGCAGAGTTTAATGATTTTTTCTTTTTTCCTTTCCTGTTATATTTTAAATTGTTACCATAAGTCTTCCCTCGACATGACTTAATGTGACAGATCATCAATAACCATGCTGCGTGACCAAGGAAAAATACCTTTGCATTACATTTTAATTCCTCCTGTGTTGTGTCATTTTCAGAAAGGAGAGAGAGGAGGGCGCTCAGGACTCCTTTCTCAATATTTAACTGACCCTCTAGGGACACGGCAGCTGAAACTTTGACTTATCCATTTAAACAGAGTTTCTGCTGGTGTCCTCTGGTAGCCCCTCCGAGGAAATGCTTTTTCATTCTGGAACACACCGTTCTTGGAGTTCAAATCAATAATTCTGAGATTTTCATTGATATGAGGTTCAAAATCATTTTATTCCTTCTATTGAGAATAAGCAGCAGGATGAATGATTTCCAAGATGAAATTCTTTCTCTGTGCTTCTAAACCTATTCGGGATTTGTATTCTGTATATATGTCTCTAAAGTAACTGTAATGTTTATCGTTAATTCATACAGGATAAGTAATGTTGGTAAAAATTTCAGAGATGGACTGTGCCCAGGGGCACTGCAAATATTATATCACTTTTAGATATTTTAAAGTGTCTCCCCTCCACTTTTTTGGGAGATAATGATTACATTTTAAGAGCTTTGCTGCTGTGCCAAGAAAGAAAATTACAGCTGGCTGCAATTTAGAAGACTTTTAGACCAAGCAGAAGCCTCTGTGTAAGTGTAACTTACCAGCTATTTAGCAAGGACAAACCAGACAAACGTTAATTCACCTAATTAATATTCATGAGCCAAGCTGATAAGGGTTATAATGAGTCCTCCCACATTTCACATTATTCCTAAACCCCTAGGTGTGCTTTGTGCCTTGCCGTCACACATAACTGACCTATCACAAAATGCATATCTCTGTGCTAACTAATTATGCAGGACATGTTAAACATGAGCATATTTTTCAGGTTAATTGGCAAAAATCATTCAAATTTCAGATAAAATGTAGCCAAACAGTAACTGTATATTGCACTCATAAATTTAAAATATGGGCAATTTTGCAAATATTCTTGTTCTTAATCTATTTTTATTTTGTTAGGAAAAACCAATTCAAAATGCTGCAATTTCCCTCCATCACTTTCAATCATAAAATGACATGCTTGTGTAATCTTTGCACTTTGCTAACCAACAAAAATGCATTTCTTTCTATCTCTTTCACATGGGTAACAAATGTCAAATGCATTAAGGAACAATATGAAGTTAATTTTAAAAGTTTTTTCCTAATTCTCTTAAAGGGTTTTAGTTCTAAGGTTGAAACATCTTTTCAAAAATTAAAAGACTATCATTTTTACTGGAACATGAATGTGCAGTTTATAAACAAATCACCATGGCTACTTTGTCATTTTAACCATGCAGAATTGCCTTGTGATTCACACATGCACAGTTACAAGCATTCATGCGATTTGAATAACTCGAGAAACTCAAACGGGGCTCTAGACTTCTCGTAAAGCAAGCATTTGGCTGAACAAAGCTTTCCAAGGCGGCACACACTGCTTGCAGACCAGGAACAAAGTGTTGGAACATGCAAATAACTCTCTGAGGATTGCTCATTTGCTTGCTTCTTACTGGGATTACAGCCCATGCACAAGGCCGTATCCAGGCCACAACTGACAGGCCCACGTCTGCCTATTATGCTCCTGTGGCGTGGCCATGTTGAGTAATTGCTGGGTTTCTGGTCAACGCTTCAAGAAACATATGTTCCACTCCACACTGTGAGACTCCTTGCAGGAGGCTAGTAGTCTCCAGCCATGTATAACGTGTCTCTTTTGACAAAGGGTCTTGGAGGAATCCACAGTGACCTACAGCTGAAATTATAGGAAATAATTTGAAATAACTGGTGTCTTTTTCAAGCCAACATATTTCAAAGCTTCAAATACTTCAGTACTTCCACAATAGCCCCTTCTCTGTTTACGTCCTGGAGCCTGGAGTTAAATCCAATTAAGCCGGGTTATTCTTGGCAGACGCTGGACAAGTTTAAAAAGTTTTCTAGTAATTTTGCAAAACTGCTGCGTTTTGTTGTCCTTCCTTTCATTTCTGGCCTTGGCTAATGAACCCAGACCCAGACCCTCTCTAAAACATATAAATTTCTGCACTTTCCTCTCCCTGTCTAAAGACAAAAGGCATGACCAATCATTATCCCTGTAAAAGTGTCTCTGTGGGACAATAACGGCGCAGGGGTCTACAGCAGGGCGCTTTCATGCTGATTATGAAAAGTGAGCTGTAAATATTTTAAATTCTCAGCATCCCTGGTACTGTATTCAACCTTTCAGCTTCATAAGGTCACAGCTAATTTGCAAGCCATAAAAACACATTTGGCAGATTTAACAGGGATGGGAGACGCACTGATGGCATCGTCTGGGTCCCGTGTTTTTTTGAGGAAGAGTTATTATTTCCATTAAGCCCGGCAGAACGATGAGGCCAGAAATTTGCCTCTGGTATGCCCCCCATTGATCGTGGGCAGGAGAATGAGCTGCTAATGCATTTAGAGAAATAAGATCTGTTAACACCGCAGACGTTGAGCATTACAAGCGTGGAGAGAAATCCTTTTCGACGGAGGGAATATGTGCGGTATTTCTTCACAAGTTGCTGATTCCATTCTGGTTGATTCTGGTTTTAAAGGATAATTTCAGCATAACCTGACATAAAACTGGGATATCTTCAAGAATAGGAACATACTGATGCCGGATAAACTTTAATCTTGTATCAAAGACCACAAAATCCCATGTTTAGTCCAAGTTATCCTAAAATTTAACCAAGTAAGCCACTTTGAAGAATGGCACCGTGAGGATACCATGCACACAAGCACAGCCTTTTTGTTTTAGTTTACAAACTTAACTCAAAGTTGCACGAACAGGGCTGCACCCCTCACAAGTAGCACGAAAATAGGTAGACATTCAAACAACCTTATGGAGAGTCCATGGGGAGTGTGAAAAATTTTAGATACACCTTATAAATCGCACTGTTTATATTTAGCTGAAGCATTCATAAACAAGAAACAAAACCGACCCTGATACTCCGAAGACTGGACGATCACTGCAAGGATGTAAAGAACACTTATGTCACATGGTACAGATATGCCTACAGGCTTGGTGTTTAGGTATTAACTGATGGAGACTGTTGTTCAGGGTCTGAACTTCAGACCCTCTCAAGATGCACAAACTCCAGGACAGAGGATAGTTAAGGTGAACAAAGTCGAATCTAACACAGATTGTCATTTGCTGGTTCCCAAAACTTGTTCCAAACCCATATGCTGTTTGACGTTATGATATGATATATGCAAGAACCAGTGTTTTTTTGCACGACTGAGGTGAAACCTGGCTTGGATGCACAGTTTTTTGAGTCGAAACTTTTAAGAGCTTCAACGGAGGGGAAATTATTTAAAGGGGTCATATGATGTTGCTAAAAAGGGGGCGTGTTAGAACGAGCCGTTTTAGGTAGGCATGGCTGACTCTTAACTTTTATAAAGAATATCTCTTTGGATTTGAGACTTTAGTCTTTGCAACTTTACAGATCTTCTTTATGCACCAAGAGCTTGTAACACTCCAAAGAGAAAGGAAAAATTGAAATCGCATCATATGACCCCTTTAAAAAATGAAAACAAAAGCAAAAAAACAAAGATGATTAGAGTATGTTTTACAAGAAAATACTATTTTAGTTCATTTCATATTTAATTACATGCCATTTCCTTGTATTTGTGAAACTTAGTAGCAATTGTGAAAATTATTTCTACACTTTTTTTCTTCTTCAGTGTACAAAACGTACTCTTAAATTATCTTTTTGTGTTCCATGGAAAAAAAAATAGCGGCATACAGGATTGAAACGGAAAAAAAAACAAAAACATTTTTGTTGATTCATACCTTTGATATGGAAGAAAAAAAAAAAAATCGTACGCACGATTTACTAATTCGTTCCCTGGATGTACTAAAACGTGCACACGATTACTATTTCGTTCCCTCGATTTGCTAATTCGTGCGCACAATTTACTAATTCATTCTCTCGATTTATAAATCGTGTGCACAATTTAGCAAATCGAGGGAACAAATTAGTAAATCGTGTTCACAATTTACTAATTCGTTCTCTCGATTTATAAATTGTGTGCACGATTTAGCAAATCGAGGGAATTAGTAAATCGTGCGCACAATTTATAAATCGAGGGAACGAAATAGTAAATCGTGCATCCGATTTAGCCTACTATTTTTTTCCTGCATGCCATGTGTGGGGCTCCGTACTTTAATAAGATGGGTTGATGGAAGATAAAGACACAGCAAGGGCTCAAACTGTCACATTTGAGATGCTAGAAATCATAGTTAGAACAAGTGGATGGTGGAAGGAAGAGATAGGAACTAAACGAGGACACGCAAAGGTGCAGAGTGACTGTTGGGTACAAAAACACTCCAGATATCCTTGGAGCTGCAGACTTCAGTCAGAGGAAACTCGCTTGGGGAAAAGAAAGAGATATAGGGATGGAGAGGGAGGTATGTGAGGGAGACGAGGAGGAAAAGGAGGAAAGGCAGTGGGGTTGTACAGTACCTCTGTTACCGGTGACAGCAGAATTGAGATGCTTGGAGTCTAAGGGACCTGTAGTGTCTGGGAGGGTGGGTGCAGGGGAAGTTGTGGATGGTGACGATGTGGTGGGGGCATCTGTTGTACGTGACAAACAACAATGACAACAAACATGTAAACAAAAAAAGGACGGATAAAAGACAAAACAACAACGACAAGGGGAGGAAAACATTCCTATAACAATGGAACAAATGAAACACAATAGTTGTCATGCTGACAGAATGCAAATAAAAACTGAATGGGTTTAATTTAACAATGCACACATGCACAGGACACCTGACATTCCAGAAATGTATGTCTTTCTTTATGATGTTTACGGATAATGGGTTTGGTTTGTGTATAATATATCAAACATGGCAAAGTGACAGTTTTGCTCACAAAATGCTAGGAAAAAACAAGCCGCATGCAGGGAGAAAAGCATCAATATTTGATGAACTATCAAAAGTGGTCTGCACAGCTGACATGCTGGACAAAATGTGAAGAACAATCACCATAACAAGCCTTTTGTTCCTGATAATGTATCTTTATATCAGGGCAGTTTGGAGCTTAGTATTAGTGCATCTTTAAAAATGTAAAAGAGCAGATGCTACTCAGCTGGTGTTTTCCTGTAAAAGTAAAGCTTTTCTTAACAAGAGGTCAAGAGACTTAGGCCCAGTTTACACCTGCCATTAACATGCTTTTTTTTTTTTTTATAGTATGTGGATATTTAGCTTTACACCTGTAACAGTAGCCAACTCTTACTACATGGGTGAAATTAATTTAGGATAGTCTGGGCGCCAGACCAGATCAAAACTGATCAAAATGGTGAAAAATACTCCACGGATAGCTTAAATGCCAATTGTTACACAATAAAGGAAATGTCAAAAAAAGTATTGTTTTAAAATGTATTTATTATTAATTTTCGCTTGTATCAGGTCTCCAGTGTGATTGGATTGTACTTGATTATTACAAAGAGCATGACAGAAAATTGTAGCGGATAATGATTATTTATTGTTCAACCTGTATGTTAAATATTCCATAAATTTATGTGGATAATGAAAAAAACATTAACAAAACAGCATTAACCCCTTTGTTGAATGTATGTCAGGATCTATCGCTGATCCCTGAATGCGATTTCAGTGTAAAGGGGGCCAAGCTAAAATGTTCTTACACGAAAGCAAAGTTCACACTAATCTATTTTAATCTCATACAATTTCAAGGTGCAGTTTAAATTGAGTGATTTATGCTTTTAAAAACAGCAGGTATCATTCAAGCCTCTTGAAATTGATTTTGGTTCGACAATCAGTGTAATGCTGGCAGCCCTTATCATTGCACTAAACATGCTTTATGCATGCAAAGGACACAAGAGCAGAGTTGGGCTCAAGTTGATAAGTTAAATCACCAGTCTGCCTTCGTACTAATGGACTCAAGTAGACAAGCAGAGTAATCCAACTGATAGCTCAAAATTGCACAGCAGCTACCAGCTCTGGCTAACTAGAAATTTGACAGACCACAGGTTCCAGGAGCCGACATTCATAAACAGCAGCTCGTGGCTAGATTTTTTAATCCTCAGAAGAAAATATGAGTGGTGCCAGACCATACAAAACTCAGGGCATTGTGTTTTTTTTAGTGTGTTTTGTTTGCGGATTGGCTTTGTTTCAAGCGGTTTTACGGTCCAATCACTTAGAAAAGTAATAGCAAACCATATTATTTGATGTATCATTCACATTTGTAGCACAAACAATGCAGGATGAATTACACAGTTTAATACTTATAGTATTAAAAAGGGTTTGTTGATATTCCTAGGGTTATGAATATCAACAAAGGCATAGCTCTGAGTAACAGCAATAGTACTATTGTTTGTCTAATCAAACACCACTAATGATGGCTGGAGTCTTGGGAGATTTTGAAAAGGATAAAACGGGGTGTATTTTTGGTATCCAAAGTACATTATTTATAATGCATTTAGTATTAAATGAATAAAATATAATTTTTTTCTGAAAGTTACTTAGCACATAACAGAAGACTCCAGCCCAGGGATATGAAGAAACACTTCAACCAAACAGAAAAATGTGCAAAGATATTATTCAAGTCATTCCTGTGCAAAATCACTTGCTCTTGTGAAATTATCAGCTATGTACATGTTAACATATACATACAATAGTTGATCATTTAAAAAGTTGAAATTTGAATGATGTCTTTGCAGATGGCAGGGTTGCAAGCATTTCTCTGTATGGCGGAAGAGATTGAGTAATGTTTTGGATGTAACAAAAAAAAAAAAAAAAATACAATTCTATACTAGATTAATATGCAGAGACTACAAATAAGCCATTCATTGGCTGATTTCTCCAAAAGTATAAACATATATTTTTTTCGTTTGATCATCCGGCCAGCCCAGCATAGCAACACTAACTCAACCAACAGAGTGAGCCTGCAACTGGTTTGACCAACCAATTGTAGATGGCGGAGGTGTTTGGAAAACTTTTAAAAACATTCATTATTTTTCTGTTTGATGAACTGGTGTTGCAGAAAATCACAGTTAAAACCCCTAACTATATAACAGAAATTGTGATAATTTTAAAAGTGTAGATTATGGAACTAGCAGATCATGAAATTTTGGTTCTTGTTTTTTTTTTTTTTTTAGTTGGGGGGATATAGAGATTTATTAAAGTGTTCAAACCTGTTCAAACAGCCTAGATACTATTGGCCTGATCTAATATCTTATTTAGATGTCATGGCCCAATTTTAATTAAGGGTGAGATTTGAATAATAATATTGACTATACTTCTCACTCAAGTACCGCACTGACATGGCAGCCCTCTGCCTAGAATATAAAGCGATCGGCTGCATGTTGAACAGGCGATATTGCGTTTTCAATTGGCACAATACAAGGTAGGTGATCTGATGAAGGACAGTGACCATTATATTTCTCCAGGTTTTGTGCTAATCACTGTTGGAAGGACGGCATCATGTTTTGCCATTTAAAAAGACAGTAATGAATTCAGTCATGGTGCTTTATATTTGTGACACCCAATTAGGTTTTTATTCCTACAGAGAAGGTGTCAGTTTTATAGTATCAACATCATTAAGAGCTTTGGTTCTCCTTGTTGTTATAGTCTCCTGACATTTCAATGAGCCACTGGCTGGACCCCTACACTGCACCATAACTGCTAATTAAATCTTCTTAAGACGCCCTGTGGGAGAATACAAAAGCCGAGATAGAAGGAGAAAGTGAGAAAAAAGAAACTTCTCGAACAGAGAGGTGGAGGAAGAGTTTTCCAGCCTGGAGTGGTTTAGTGTCAAGAAGGCAAAGGCACAAGCAGGGGGTGCTGGAGAGACTCTTCCGCTTGATGCCCACAGTCATATCCATTCTTAGCCTGTGAGCGTATCCACACAGCTGCCTCTGATGAAAGAGATGGCAGATGTGGACGCAGTGTAGCCTCTAAACCCATCATGCTTTGCTGTTATGCTAAGTGGGTGAAACTCATTCTCTTAAATGAAGTCAGAGAAGAAAAATGGGTTGCTGCATATGTACACATTGTTTGTGTAAGATTTATGATGCAGAGGTGATTATATGTCTTTGTAAAATTGTCACTAAATTAAAGGAATATTTCAAAATCTGTCAAAATTCTGTCATCATTTATTTTCAAGCGCATTTGATTTTCTTTCTTCTTCGGTAGCACAGAATGCTAACTTTTGCCAATATTATGAATGTGATGAATTCCATAAATTAAATTAAATTAAATTAATCCATAACTTGTATGAAGACTTCTGAAACAATATGATTACTTTGTATGATGAACAGATTGAAATTTAAGCCTTTATTCACTCTCAAATCAAATCGAAACACTGGTCAACTCGCTTATAGAAAGACTACAACAAATATGGTGATACAAATTAAGTTTGAAAGTTTGGGTTTCCAAACAGTTGAAATTCTTGAAAATGTTTTCTTTTGTGATTTGCAAAATAAATGAAGTCATACTAGTTTGGAAGAACATGAGGGTGAGTAAAGGATGACGGAATTTCCATTTTTGGCTTAATTAATCGTTTAAGCTCGATATTTTTTTTATATCTTTCAGGCCAGCAATCATTTCAAGGCATTTCATCTTTCAAAGGTGTTAAAATAAAACAACATTTATTAGCAGGGTAGAAACGTAGGTTTAATTAGCAATGCAGATGCTTTCCAAGACAGCAGCAAGAGCTGTGTTAGCTTTAACAGACAGGTTAATGCAATCTGTCTGTCACTCACCTTTAACAACCAGTTTATATTCAGCGTGGCTGGTGCCGAGGTGATTGGTAGCTTCACAGCGGTAGGTGCCGTTATCTGTTTTGTTCAGTGACATGAAGGTGAGCTCTCTTCCTTCGACAATCACCCGGTCCAGGTCTGGCAGCTCTCCTCCGTCTTTAGTCCAGAGTACTGGGTCTGGCCTGATGAAACATTGATTTTTAACTTCTAATTAAAAACAAAATTCAGTTTCTTTTCCATTATGGAACATGCGTTAAAAGGTCATATCACAAACGTTTTTAATAATTAGGTTTATTTTTATTTCTTTATTTTTATGATTATTATTTAGTTTAGTTTTTAAATATCCCATTCTTCAGTAATAATCTTCGGCACATTTACTGCAGCACAAGGATATTCAGAGTTGTAGGTGCAACACACAGCCAGTAACAACACAAGGTTTGGCAGCCTTGGTTTTGCTTCCTCACTATTACATCACTGTGACTGGGTAGACAGAGTATCTGTACACTGAAAAGGCATTGTTGACATAAATGAGGGATAATATGTTTGCATGAATTCAGATGTATTCATATGATATTGGAATATTATGGAAATTCAAAATAAGCCATTTTTGCAGCTTAAAGGGATAGTTCACCCAAAAATGAAAATCGACTGATAGACTGCAACGGTTAAAGTTAAAAATCATCATATGTGTTCTACTGAAGAAACAAAGTCACCTACATCTTGGATGCCCTGAGGGTAAGCAGATAAACATCAAATTTTCATTTTTGGATGAACTATCCCTTTAAGTGTCAACAGATAGTCTTTTTTACAGCGAAAAGTTCTGAAGCGTTTGAGTTCTGAAAGTTACAGTATGTTTTCCTATACAAGACTTTTCACAAAAGATCTCCTTTCCTTGACCTCAAAAGATCAAGAAAAATTGGTTTCCTTATGATATGACCCCTTTAATGCTAAAATCAATGGAAAGACAACACCACAAAAGTTACAGCAAAGGCTTTGAGAAAGCAAAATTCACTGAGAGAGTTTTAAAGTTTTCAACTTTAGCTTTAAACTAAGCAATTTGGATTATCCAAGTTTATCAAAGATTTGTCAGCCTTTTTCTTTGGGAATATTAGAACACACTGGCCTTATTTTAGCTTCAGTTGTACCAATGGCTAAGAGCTTCTTAATGTTGTTTTCCGTGTGAATTTATGGTTATATATTCATAGCTGTTTAATTTCAACAGAATCACATTTATGAGTCATCACATTAATGCAAGCATGTGGTTATAAGCTGCTAGCCGCAGGCCTGCCCACAGGGCAATTTCTCCTTGGTGCAGTAGATATGCAATGCATCTTCCCAAAGCTCTTTGCAAACATTATAATTCAACAAGATGCTGATAAATTGTGAATGCTTACGAGGGGTTTCCATGAGGTACACATTCCAGTTTGAGGTACTGCCCCTCCAGTGGGGCTGGTATGGAGTGTTTGATCTCTACATAGGGAGCATCTATGACAGAGACACAGAGACGAACAAAGAAATATTGTTTCAGACAGCAGCATCCAAGTGGAGGAATGACACTCCACGGAGATCAAAAGATAAATGATGTGACGTGTTGCTCAGGCCCAAGTGCTCCACTGCATCCCAGTAGATTGATTAAATGTCAACACTTCAAAAATAAACTCTAATGATTTTTGTCTGTAATTATTGCATAATCTTTGCATCAAAACACCAAATTTCAGGATTTAAAAGTTGCCAAAATTACTTTTCATAGTAACTTTAATAAGTCATTGAAAACCCAATGAAATCAAAATTATGTGTTTTGCGGCTTTAGTCATTTTGATCGGTTTCTCAGAAAACGACTTTTTTTTTATCTTAGGCCATGTTGCTTCACAAGTAAATGTATCTTGATTTAAGAATTTTTACACATTTTCACTGGAAAGCAAGACAAAAATACTGATGGATTGATTGTTTGATTGATCGATTTTTTGCAGTGTGGTCAGTACAGTAAGCGTTTTTTCCATATTCTAATGATGGGGAGCAGAGCTGTCCATGTCTTAAGCTAGCAATTGATTGATTGATTGGTTGGTTGGTTGGTAAAATGAATTAAAGAGTTTCAAAATTAAAAAGTTTACAAAGTGTTTCCTTACTTTTTAAACTCATTACTTTGTAAAAGATTTCAAGCAGTTTCACATTTGTGGATTTAGGTTTATGGTTCTAACCATCATGGGATGTTGGTTTGAGTCGGGACCCAGCTGTACTCACAGTGGACCTCCAAGACCTGTGTGGTCTCTTCGTGGGTGGCAATTAGGGCCACATGGTCCACTCTACAAGTGTAGGCCACACCGTCATCATGCCGGTTCACCAGGAGCTGAAGGGAGCTCTTCACTGTGAAAGTCTTGCCACTGGTATTCACCTCTTTGGCACCTGAGAAAGGCAATAAGCACAGCATCATGTGTTTCAGAGTTTCACATACATTACAGTCAAAGTTACAGTGAGAACTTGAAGTATTGTGAAACACAAAGGTTCAGAGAGATACTCCAATCTTTTTTTAAGACTTTATGTTTCAATAGAAAACTTTAGTTGTGTGAAGACAGAGTTGAGTTGCATTCATTATTTCCACCCACTGACGCACATCACTGTGTCTGGAATGCTCTTGAATCCTGCCTCTATCTTTTCTCATTTCCAAAACTGGATAAAACTGGTAAAAGTAAAACTTGAACTTGAACTCTTATCTGACTCTCTCAAAGTCAAAAATATTGATTCAGTGCTTGTTTTTGCATTTAACTGAGCTGAATTCTCGTGGCAAATGAAGCATGAGTTACTTTTTGTAATGGTGACAGGTTCATTTCATCGGTTTACAAAGTAAATTCTCATTGAATGTTAATTAATTTAGCCTACATTTTCTTCTATAGAATTAGTGTTGATGTATAGTGTTGCACATGAGCCATTTATCAGAGTAAAACAGCTCCTCTTACTCCTCTCTGAAAACTCTATTAGTTGAAAAACAGATTGTGTTTTGTTTGTTTCAATGTGTTAATGGATTCTGCGTTTATAGGCTTATGCTGCACACACCGCTGTCTAGTAGCACTTAAAACACAAATCCAAGGCAATTAATCCACTGCATCTCAATGAGATTAACAAATACTACAATTTCTCATCAAAAGGATATTATTGGATCTTTAAGAGTATAAATTACAATTTTACTTTTGCCAAACAGTTGTTCAAACAAATGTAAGGACAACAGAACAAGCTCATTTTATCCAACAGCAGAGAGAATGTAAAATAAAAAAAAAAACACCCTTTTTACATTGAATCACCATATTTTACAGAAGAAATGGTTCTACAGAATTTTAAAGAGTTCTATAACTCGCATCATATTTGGAACCTCTAGAAGTTTCCATATATAGTCAAAATCTGAACCTTTCAAATCTTTGGATAAAGAGATTTTAGGGATGTTTTTTCTCCTAAAACATTCCATACACCAGGATGCATAAACTACCTCATTTACATCATAATTTATTTACTTTAAAATCTTTAAAATGTAGTTTAAACTGTTTGGTTCCTGAAACACAAAGGAAAAAATGAATAAATTAGTTCACCATGCAAATCATGTTTTGTTGATTGAGTTTTAGATTCAGATAGAATCACACAAGACTTCACTCATTCCAAAACCTTCAGACTCAGGTCCAACTGTAAGATACGAATCCACACAGTTCTCACCTATACGAATCATTTTAGTCTTTCTCTTTCCATTTGCTCCCCCTCACTTTCTCTACTCCCAGAATCACTCCTGCTATCACTGCGAAGCTGTCAATCAGCTTCCTCTGGAGGTGTCGCCACCCGCTCAGGAGCATCTGAGCATGCACAAGATATCATTTAGAAACCTGAACACACACGTGCACACTCACACATATATACACGCAGAGAGGAAGGTACAGTTCTATGGTTCCTATACTCTTGAGATGCTTATGGGATGCAGTCAATAGGTTGGGGGTAAATTTGTATTCCGGATATACAACAAACAAACAAACAAACAGACAGACTGTTAGTCTGTTCATAAGAGTGTTCAGATGAATAACACTTTGTATGGCTGTGAACGGAGCGAGAAAACTTTAATTTGAGAGTAGACAAACACTCTCAGCAATTAGATGTGGAAGTGGAAAGTCTGTTCCACCCCATGGTTACATCCTGTGAAGATTCCCAGTATGCTTTAGAAGTTTCTTTAGATCAACTTCAGCGCATGATACAGTTGGAACAACTCAGAAGCAAATCGTGATCTTCTGAAATGAGGAAGCAAAGTCCCTTTACTGTGTTTGGGATTTTTAGTAAACTCACCTTCCTGTTATTATTATTTATTTTTAATAATTATGTGGTTTCTTAGTTGAAAGCTTATGGGACACCATTTATTTTACACTCAAGCAAACAATATAATTTTGATCAGTATAATTTAATTTAAAGTACACAAAAAGTGTTCTTTTTAACCAATGTGAAAATACTTCCATGTCAGTTGGCTTTAATAAATACTATGTATTAGAACCAACAACATCAAAATATTTTTACATTGGTTTAAAAAAAGTAAACTGCATGTTTTATATATGATCTTATTTGATACTGCTGATCTTTCTTTCTTTCTTTTCTTTTTTTACCTATTATTAATAGTCACTTTATTTTTATTAACAGGCAAACATAACAGGCACATAGGTGCACCTTTAATTTACCTGAGCTGCTTGTTCACTAAAAATGTCTCACTCACAGATTTCAGTTCCTACCTAAAGTGGCTCTAGGTTGTTTAATTTAGTTGTTTAGAGTTATTATTTTGTCCATTTCCACCAGTTTGACCCATTCCGATTTACAGACCAATTGTGAAAATGGTAGACAGCCATTATTGCATTTTACAGGGTAGTCAGCCAATCACACACCTTCTCTCATGTGACTTTTCACCTGGAATTTGCCATCCCCCCTCACATTCATGCAGCACTTTAGGATCTCAACGAAATTAAAACATCATCTGCTTTCTACTGATTTGATTGCCTAAATCTATTATGCCCATTCACCTACATCATCTATTTATTCATATACTCATCCATTCATTCAACAATCCTTCCATCCTGGAGAAAAAAAAAAACAGCATAATGAGGGTTCATTGGCCATGTCTACTTCTATTGTCCCTCTCAGTAAGTTAGTGAGTGGGTGAGAGGGGAGAGATTTGCCAGCAGACAGAATTGAAATTAAGGTCAGAATGTTTTACATTAATATTTATGATGGCAAACCAGTAATAGAAACATTACCACAGAAACACACTCACCAGTGCGCGCGCGCACACACGCACACACACACACACACACACACACACACACACAAGCTCTCATTTAATGCACACAACTACGTTAAAACTGTATGTAATCTTCATTACACACACATCAGCACGTGTAATTACGTACATAGTTGGATGCAATTCAACGTGACTCAATTTAATGTGAAATATCGCTAATTTTCGGATTTGAGGCTGAGTGTTGTGCTCCTTCTGGAACCGGAATGCTTTCCTGGAACTCTGCGATAGCTACGGCATATGGTGAGCCCAAAGAGCAGCTGAGAACAGGAAAGAATAAAACATGGGGTGAGATTAGCATTTAATTTCAGCTGTGAGCAGTTCTGAATTCAAATGCTGTTTTCCACCTAAAAAGGAGGTATTTAGAACAACAGGAGGCATAAAGGTGTGCAGCTCATCTCCGCCACCTCTACCCTTTTTTGCAAGCCCATTAGCGAGCATGCAAGAGGGATATAAAAAGAGAGAATGAAAAAGATAGAGAGAGAGGGGGAGAGAGCAAAAGTGTTCTTTATCCGATCACCGCAAACTGCTCTCAGGCTAAACACAGTGGTCATTCCTAGCAGATGGAGGCATATTTTTGTGTGTATTTGACTGAAGTTGGCTGTATGTTTGCATGGCGAGAGCTTAAATTCGAGGCAGCGGTTTTGAATTTCCTCACAAAAATTGTCAGTTTGTGTTTATTTATGCAGCATAATCTTCTGCCTGTGGTGAGAGACTCAGGAGTTTCTCCACACGTGAGTGGAGCTCTGCAGCGGGCGACTGAATGCCCATCTCATCTATCTACTGCTAATCCTAATGTCCCAGAGACATGAGAACCGATAACGACAACATTATTTCAACAAATACCCTCCAATCCCCAACCAGGATCACCATAAATATCAGTTACTCCTACCGCACAGCACTCCGCCATGGCTCACTGTTCAAATATCTTTCATTAATGGTCAGTGTGGGTGTCAATGTAAAAGCTCCTTCTGGTGCCGTTCAATTTTATCTCTCTAATCTACACAAACAGTCTCCCTGCTGGCAGTTCTTTCACTAGGGTCAAATACGCTAGACTGAGATGGGATTTGTTGATGCGATTGTCTGAGCCTGGTTGGAATTAATGATTCTGTTCTGACACACACACACACACACACACACACACTGTCTGGCTGCTAACAGTGTGATGATATCATCTCCTCTAGGACGCAACTGCACATTCACAGGATAAGCCGTTTTATCAATGTCGTTATGCCACAGGTGACAGAGACACACACAAGCTCCACCCACATTATGTCAAAAATATAATATAATCTGTGTGGAAGCCCTGCCCAGTTGTCTGTCAAATGCCCCACCAGGTAATTCCCAAAAGCACTGTTATTCCAACTGTGGTCGCAATACCATTGTTACTAAAAGTTCAATGATTCTGCGTTTCCCAAAACCATAGTTTCAAAGAATATTCACAAAGAGCATCACAAATATGTGTGGCTGGAACTACAGCTCTCAACTTCCATTCCGCCATTACTAACTTAGTTCAATGATTTGTTCCCTGAAACCAGTTACAAAGAACATTCGCAAACGTGTGTTTAGAACTACAGCTCTCGACTTGGGGTGTTGTTTCCCAAAAGCATCGCTTGCCAACTATGGTCGAAATTCTGACGTAACTAACATAGTTCCATGATTCTGCATTTTCTGAAACCATAGATCCAGCATTCGCAAACAGCATTGCAGACTTGTGTGTTTGGAACTACAGCTCTTGACCTGAGGTTAGAAGCATAATTTATTGTTAGTACTACATGCGGACTTACATAGATCATCTTGTACAAAACATGCAAGCGATACATTCTATAATTTAAATTCCATTTTAATATATATTTACATTTCATTAGCCTGTCAACAAACAGTACTGTTTTTTGAAGTGTGAACAAATGCAAAAATGCGTAAGGAAACCCCAGAGTATTACATAGTCATTAATGCCATTCCTATATTGTTGAACCAACGTGGTTCAAATGACAAAGGTGTGACCACGTTATTATGGTTTCGGGAAACAGTCGTGATTAGGTAGTTAATTTCTTCAATGATACATGGTACTACACTGGTTAAACAATGAATTACG